TTGCGAACGTTTGAATGACAAAAGTGATCGTCTGATCTGTATGAAATTTTATATACATTATTTAAATTAGTAAAACAAAAAGCCTGTCAAATTTCAACAATATCTGTAGATTACCTGTAGAGTTGAGACCCTTGTTTCAGTTTGTAGAACCTTGTGAACCCTCAAACGACGAAAATTATAATCTGATCTGTATGAAATTGTCTTGTAAATGCCCCCAATTACTTACAAAAGAATAAATATATGCTCAGACGATTTAGCTTCTGTGGGTGTATGTTGTTTAGTTGCCAAGCAACCTATCTTGTATGTGAGCTAAAACCATTACACTAATACATGAAACAAGCTGACGGTTACCTATTCCATCATAGTGCACAATCTCAACCCACATAATAGTTTTATTCAAATTATCACTGAAGTCACATGACTTGCACCCACATCAAAGGTTAACAGTGTTAGAACCTATTGCTAGGACAGCATAACATCATCTCCACCTATACATTTTAATAACATAACATACTTATAACAATAATCTCGCAATTTCAATGAGTCATTAGTTTTTATACGCCCACATTGAAATGTGGTCATATATTGTCATCGCCCCCGTCCGTCTGTCCAGCGTCCACAAGCAATTGTGGACGCTCTAGAGGCTAAAGTTAATATCTGATTGACTTTAAATTTATACACAGTGTTTAAGACCTTGAGACAAAGAATCCCATTGATTTTCAGCGATTTCCGATAATTACTGCCAGAGTTATGGCCCTTGATCACTTTGAAAAATCTTGTGGACGCTCAAGAGGCCAAAGTTAATATCCAATTGACCTTAAATTTATACACAGTGTTTGAGGTCATGAGACGAAGAAGCCTATTGATTTTCAACGATTTCCGATAATTACTGCCAGAGTTATGGCCCTTGATCACGTCAAAAAATCTTATGGACGCTCTAAAGGCCAAAGTTAATATCCAATTGACCTTAAATTTATACACAGTGTTTAAGGTCATGAGGCGAAGAAGCCTATTGATTTTCAGCGATTTCCGATAATTACTGCCAGAGTTATGGCCCTTGATCACTTCAAAAAATCTTGTGGATGACCTAGAGGCTAAAGTTAACATTCGATTGACATTAAATTTATACACAGTGTTTAAGGTCATAAGATGATGAAGGCTATTGGTTTTCAGCGATTTCTGATAATTACTGCCAGGGTTGTGGCCCTTGATCACTTCAAAAAATCTTGTGGATGCTCTAAAAGCGAAAGTTAATATTCGATTGACTTTAAATTTTTACACAGTGTTTAAGGTCAGGAGACGAAAAATCCTATTGATTTTCAGCGATTTCCAATATTTGCTGCCAGAGTTATGGCCCTTGATCACTTTGAAAAATCTTGTGGACGCTCTAGAGGCCAAAGTTAATATCCGATTGACTTTCAATTTATACACAGTGTTTAAGGTCATGAGACGAAGAAGCCTATTGATTTTCAGCGATTTCCGATAATTACTGCCAGAGTTATGGCCCTTGATCACTTCAAAAAATTTTGTGGATGCTCTAGAGGCTAAAGTTAATATCCGATTGAATTTAAATTTATACACAGTGTTTGAGGTCATGAGACGAAGATTCCTATTGATTTTCAACGATTTCCGATAATTACTGCCAAAGTTATAGCCCTTGATCACTTTGCAAAATCTTGTGACGCTCTAAAGGCTAAAGTTATCATCCGATTGACTTCAGATTGATACACAGAGTTTAAGATCTTAGACGAACAAGTATATTGATTTTCAATGAATTTTTATGACTTGAACAGTTAAATCCATGATATTAAAAGCTTTGCATACAAAACGTTAGCATGGGGCAGAACTTTATAAAAACCAAACAAATTCTAATAGTTTTCTGATAATTACTTCGTGAGTTGTTGCTCTTAATCAGATTTTAGTGTATTATAAATGTTTCTTTACCGAAAAAAGTAAAAATATGCGACAACCCTTGTTGACTGCCCGGACGATTTAGTTGCTGTGGGCGTATGTTTCGTTGCCTGGCAACCTATCTTAGTTTTTCCAGGAATTACTTATTTTATCCTTTCCTTGACTAATATCATAACTTTGATTCTTGGACTAAGTGTCTCAAAATCATATTAGCTCTATACAGAGCCCCGGATTGTACAAAAAATTGCGTTTTTAGGTTGTGGTTCCTCGAGAGATCACAATTATTATCCGATTTAAAATAACGTTTGAATATATCACCATTACACCTTAATGTCGGTTGAGTCTGAATTCCATGAAAATCGGACCAAAACCGACCGACAAAATGGCCACCCCTCGTATGCAAATAGTGTAAACATATGGTATATCAAGGTTGTGGTCCCTCTAGAGGTCATAATTTTTATCTGATTTAATAAACCATGTGAAAATATCACCGATACACCCTAAGGATGGTTGAGTTCGAATTTCGTAAAAATCGGAGTCCCTTTTCATTTTCATACATATTGAATTGTAACTTCCTGAATTATGGCCCCTGATTGTGCGAAAAATTGCCTTTTTGGCTTGTGGTCCCTCTAAGGGTCACAGTTATTATCCGATTTAAAAAAAATGCTGGAATATATCACCGTTACACCCTAATTTTGTCTGAATTTTAATTTCATGAAAATCGGACCAAAACTGCCGACTAAACGGCCGCCACTCGTACGCAATAGTGTAAACATCTGGTACATCAAAGTTGTGGACCCTCTAGAGGCCACAAGGTACAATTTTGATCTGATTTTGATGAAACTTGAAATGCAAGTTTATAACTTGAAATATAGGGTTATCACCATCAGATCTCGGTTCCTTTCGATATTGGCATGTATCGGACTGTGACTTCATGGAGTAAGGCCCCTGATTGTATGAAAAATCACATTACAGGTCCCAATTTTTATCCGATTTCTTTTAAACTTGAACTATATGTTTATAACCCTCAGACATCGGTTCCTTTCGATATTCGCGTGTATCGGATCGTAACTTCCTTAATTATTGCGCCTGATTGTACGAAAATCGCGTTTTTAGCTTGTGGTCCCTCTAGAGGTCACAATTATTATCCAATTTAAAAAAACGTTCGAATATATCACTGTTACACCGCAATGTTTGTTGAGTTGGAATTTCCTTGAAAATCAGACCAAAACTGCCATACAAAATGGACGCCCCCTCGTATGCAAATAGTGTAATCATCTTGTAAATCAAGGTTGTGGACCCTCTAGAGGTCACAATTTTGATCCGATTTCGATGAAACTTGAAATACATGTTTATAACCCAAAGATATTGGTTACTTTCGATGTTTAAGCATATCGGATCATAAACTTTGATTTTAATTGAATGATAGTGGTGAAACTTTGTATAGTTTCATAACATTAGTATCTTAACAAAGTTTGATGCTGAGCAATTTCTGCCTAGGCAAAGTAGAGACTTCAATCTGATTAGTCGAGACTTTGAATCACAATAACTCTCCTTCTGATGGAGGTAGAATGGTCAAAATTGGTGTATGTGTCTATTAGGTGAATGGCTTGACAGAGTTCGATCATGTGCATTTTCCACTAAGGCTAAGTAAAGATAGCAATTTGATTGGTTGAGACTTTGGAACATGATAACTTTGGTTCTAATTGGGTGAGAGCGATTCATTATATCAATACCTTGACTAAGTTCGCTAATGAGAATTTTCTGCTTAAGCTATGTGGCGATAAGCAATTTGATTGATCAAGACTTTGGAACATAACAACTCTGCTTTTAATTGAGGTATAGATGTTCATTAGGGGAATGTCTTGACTGAGTTCAAGGATTGATATTTCCCGCTAAAGCTAAGCAGAACTAACCAATTTTGTTGATCGATGCTTTGGGACAAGATAACTTTGATTCTAACTGGTGGAGAGTGATGAAACTTAATGTATAGTTTCACTACCAGCATGTTCCAGAAGCAACGACCGTGAGTTTTACAACATCTAGACGTTGCAACACTGCTTTGCAATCCGGAACTTATAGCTATGTTATCTCTCTTTACAGCAGACACAGGAACAGTAGCGTCCAATCAGAGGTTGCGACACAAACACACTCAAATCAAACATGGGCGACCTCCACGGAAACCTTGACATTGAACGAACCTTGAACTTTGCACCCGTCTTCATTAGCCGAGTATAGGAGCAGAACAGTAGGACGTTAAACCCCATTTCATTTCATTTCATTTCATTTGAACTTTGCAACTTGATTGTCACGAGTAGATATTTTAGCTTGAAAACGTGAGACTTGGTATTCCTGATGATCGAGGAATCTGATAGGCTCTCAAGCTGGGTCAGTACCCAATCGAAATTCATGAAGAGCTTGATTAGATCTACGGAATTAAAGCGAGATCAAGCCATCTATTGAATATGCATTACCAGATACATTTTATACTAAGATTAAGCATATATAATCAGTTTAATTGCTCGATACTTTTGAAAAAGATAAATGTGCAATTAATTTATGTGTCATCTGTTTATTTTGGGATTTCGGTGGGGGACATCAGCCTCACTGTTGGCTTGTTCAATTATGGAAAAGGGTCTTCACTCCCAATATAGGTAGCAAGTGAACATTTACCACATTGAACACCACAGGAAGTGTTTCTGCATTCCTCAATAACTCCACTCTATACAAACGTCTAGGCCCACCGTCCTGAACAACTGACAAGGGGAAACCATGCTTGGAAGTCCTGAGAGTAGACATTCTCAGCCAAAACACAGATTGAGCAAGGAACTGCCAGGTTAGCGACAGCGTCTTATGCACTGAACCACTCCAGGAAATAATCAATACTCAAAGATAACCTAGTAAAAAGTTCAACTTCATTTCATAGATTAAAACGCTCATTGCGAGATAACAGCATCATTGTTATTTTGTGCATAAACTTCATGAGACTTGGCATCAAAGCATATCCCCCGACAATTCTTTATTTTCTTTTGACTACCCTGATTATTGAACATTTGACCATCATAGATTCTTTCACTAAATTTTTTCAGGATGAATATGAGGTGTAAAAGCTCAGACTGTTGCTATGAGCAGGAGAAAAAATTTAAGTTTTGTCCAGAATGTGGCTGGAAAGCAGAAAATGAAGACATTACAGCATCTGAAGTTGCAGGTAAACAATGAGAGAATAAATGAATAATCTTTCTATTTTCTTCAACTTTTATTGCAGGAAACAATATAAGGCGTATCACATTGCACTCTGGTTCTGACCTTTTGCTTTTCAGCTGCTATGTATTTATACGTAACTGTTTTAAAGTAAGGATGGACCATTTAACATTTATTTAAGAAAACAAATACCAATGCTAGTGTTACAGAATTGGATCTTTATGTTAGGTTCTTGATGACAACACTGGTTTAACTTCATACGATAATTTTATTGTTCTTCAAACATATCATGTACAAAACTTAAGACTCTGTAATTAGCTTGTGTTGAAGAAGCCATGGTCTTAGCTTGGCTTGACACCAGTGATGGGAGTTTAGCCGTATATTCCGGACTTGTCCGAATCTTTTTTCGAAACGCCCAAAATTGTCCGACCGGGAATATGCCCAATCGGACATCAAGACATGGTGAATAATATTCAAATTCCAAAATTAATATAGTGTACTGAGTGTATAACTACCGTGCAACCCGATTATCGTTGATAATAGGCTGGATTGATTAGGTAATTAAGTGATCGACTATTTATCGTGTTATATCGTCTTACACCCCTACCTTGATTAACTACTATTCTGCCTTGATTGTCTAAATTAATTCTTTATCGGACAATTCATCAAATCAATCCTGAACAGAAGTCGTTGCTTCTCCTTTGTCGGGCGATATATCAATCCAATAAGAGTGATTATAAACTTAATCTGATTAACCCGTGATTTCTCCAGACCATTGTCTCACGTTTTAATCTCCTTTGTGTCGGACAATAACACGTAGAAATTAGTCATATATGTCACATATCCTGATAGTATATAACACCTCAAATCAACATACATTGTATCCGATAACTTGTCTGTGATATATTTTCGGTGGAAGCCGAAGTTAAATAAAGATATTTCACACACATGGCGCTTATAGAGTTCAGTAATTAAAATGAAAGTATAAATCTCGCGAGACACGTGAAATTAAGAGATGTATACGTGCTGAATTCAATACGCCTGATGTCCGAGAAAAGATTCTATTTTGATGGCATATTGTCGGATTTATGATCATATTTTGAAGGGGGTTTATGTCTTTAAATAAATAAATAAACACGCTAAGAAATGTTGACGAATATTTCCATTGGAATGACGTAAGTAGTTAATTGTTTTAGACGATAGCGCGTGCTACAGTCGAATGCAATTATTTAACAGTTGGTGTCACTCGCTCATTAGAGCGTCGTTAACTACGGTTTACAGCCAAATAAATTTCGGGATGTCATTTTTTTACCTTCCGTATATAAATCGAAACAGAGTATCAGACGAATGTCGGACTTTGCTGAAAATTGTACCGACGTATGACCCGAAAAATATGGTAATTTTGGGGGAGTTTGAAACAAATCGGCACGCTGCCAATTCTATAGTATTACGATGTCATGTAATTTTGTAGGAATATTATTGACATAAATTTGAATACCGTGCGGGTTTTAAACATGAAATATAACGAGGTGCACCTATTTTTTTTTACATATGAATTTGAATATATTTTGTTGACACGTGATTCTTAATTGTGTTTTGAAAACGTCTGCTTAAATTACGGTAAGAGTTATGCCCCTTTATTTTCGGGAAAAAATGTCCGACATGAAATTTTTTGAAATCCCATCACTGCTTGACACCCTTGGGTGCCAACTCCCAACTAACTGGTTTCAAGTTAACTTCTAGATGCCCTTGCCTAGTCTGAATGTGGGTCATAATCTGATAAGGTGTTAAGTGCCATGTTCCTGAATAATGTAAATTGTGTAACACTAGATAAGCTCCTTGCTTGGATTCAGTCGAATTGTGGTGGGCTCATTACATTGCGAGCAGCATAAATCTATGAAATCCAATTCAATATAATGGAATTGAACCATTTTCGAACCGATATTCCTATTAGAGAATTATCTTTTCACATATTCTAGTTTGCAAAGAATTCTTATTGTACTAAAATGATGCAACTTTTTGCGAATGTAACCTGAATTATATAAAAATGTTTCATGTCATAAATTTTTAAAATAATTAATCTAAATTGTTGTTCATTTAAACATTAGAAAGATATGGATAATTTATATACGCTCTCTCTGTCCCGCTGGGGGGTTGGGTAGTGGAACATTAGAATACTTGAACTTGAGTTAAGTGTAGTGTTTTTGATCTGAAACTTGTATGTGACAAGGAGTAGACTCAGAAATATAAGCTTATGAAATTTAAGCGCCAAAATATGGAGGAATGGAGTATTTTCCTTGTCTCAAAATATCAGCTCAAAATTTCGTCAAAACCACTTATACAGACACGTGACCCTTTTAAGATTTTGTTTCAATTTTTTCATTGGGTGATCTGCTAATCTATTGCCATTGCTTTAGAGGACTTTACAGTGCAAGACCCACATGCTGTACTTGATAATGAAAGGTAAATTTCACGTACACGATATTTTTATAAAATAAAAGTCTGGTTTTATCCAAACACCATATAATACAGCTTGGGACATCGGTCTCCATTGCCAGATCAAGGCTGACAGTTTTTATACGCCCACATTGCAATATGATTAATAGAATACAATATCAAAAAACCATCGTTTTATCCAACGTTTCGTCAGTAAAAATACTAACTTCTTCAGGGATGAAGAACTAAATACAAAATGACTGGAAGTCAGTTATGACATCATAGGAAGTTTTGACATTGTGGGAATGATGACGTCATAGACTTAGATACATAACATGAAAGGTTAGCTTAACTAAAACTTAGGTAAAATTTTACAAGTAAGGACAAATTATGCATGATTATGAATGATTTTGAAACCCCCTGGATTTAACTCATTTAAACCGTTGAGCCAAACTGAATCAAGTCTATGAATCCACAGACTTTATTGAACACAGCAGAAAGTCTGTGGATTCATTAACTTTAAATTAATACACAGTGTTTAAGGTCATGAGACAAAGAATCCTATTGATTTTCAGCAATTTCCGATAATTACTGCCAGAGTTATGGCCTTTGATCACTTCAAAAAAATCTTGTGGACGCTTTAGAGGTCAAAGTTAATATCCGATTGACTTTAAATTTATACAGAGTGTTTAAGATCATGAGACAAAGAAGCCTATTGATTTTCAGCAATTTCTGATAATTACTGCCAAAGTTATGGCCCTTGATCACTTTTAGAGGCTAAAGTTATCATCCGACTGACTTCAGATTGATACAGAGAGTTTAAGGTCTAGAGGCGAACAAGTATATTGATTTTCAATGAATTTTTATGACGTGAACAGTAAGGCTGTGCAAAAATATCAATATAATCGATAATCGGTAGAAGTTATTTAGCGATACGATAATCGATATTGAAATTCAAATATCGATTATCGGTATATTTACCTTCTGACGGCAAGTTACGGTTACTTTCACATGACTGAACTTCCCGTAGTCCGGCATTAGCAGACGAATGAATGAATACACAACGTCAACACAACAACTATTTTTACCGCTTTGCTTACAAACTGGCACATTTTAATATATATATTATTGTAAAAAGCTAAACTTTAAGATTAAATACATTATTTTAATATTTTCGTTGTTTTTGTTGTTATTTCTAGTTGAAACTAAAATAGGTCACGCACTTTGTGAACAATGACAATTGCATGTAGAATTATCTCCCCTTCTTTGTTCTTGATTGATTTGTAGAGAAATCGTCTGCTTTCACGATAAAACTAATTGTATTATTAATGATCAACTCACTTTTATTTCTAAATCATGTCAGATACAGCCCATACAAAACACGTTTTTGACTTCTAGGGAAAATATCTATATCTCTCGTAATTTCGAGGAAGAATTCTACTTTGGTTTTCATCTAAATTAACCAATCATAAAAATTCTACTTTGAAAGCCCGTAATTATTTTTTTATTGTCCAATCAATAGACGCCTTCTATTTTATTCTATTATTAGTAACACTGTGTGATCGCCAGTCACCAATCGGCAAACCTCAACAGATTCCAGTACCCTACATCTAATCTCGGCTGTATAACAAAGTCCGCCATTAGAACTTTCAAGTTCCCGGATTACAATGGCGTTGTCCATGACGACCAATGACGTGATTGATGACGACGTATTTGAAGAATGTTTTATCTTACAAAATTTTCAAAGTTTGAAGCTGTTTTTCTTTCAAGTTTATCCGATTTTCTTAAGACAAGGACAAATTTGCACTGAAAATTCTACACACTCTTCGAACGACGCAATTTTGAGAACTTCTTTCTAAACGCGTGCAAGTTTCCCTTATAAGTAAACCGGTGCCGCATCGCAAATGTATAGGCATAGGTACATATCACTTACTGTCACACAGCCGAGGCTAGATGTAGAGTACCGGAATCTGCCGAGGTTTGCCGAGTGCGCCAGTCACTTGCAAAGAGAAACCATGTATTGTCTTTGTATTTATCAGAGATATTGGAATAAAAAAAGGTTCAAATGAATCAAGAATAAAACTTAGAATAATACTCAAGTTAGTCCTACATTTAGCAACTAATTATTTTACATTAATTGATTTTTTTACATACATCGGCACAGTATTATACTAGGATAACTACTGTAACTCGATCAACACAAATAACAGGTCGGTAAAGTTCGGATTTTTCCAGAAAAATGATAATCGATTATTATCGATAATCGCTGAAAAATTCTTGCCGATAATCGATATTGAAATTTCATATCGATTCCCATCCTTAGTGAACAGCTAAATCCATGATGTTAAAAGTTTAGAGTACTAAACGTTAGCATGGGGCAGTACTTTATAAAAACCAAACAAATTCTAATGGTTTTTTGATAATTACTTAATGAGTTGTTACTCTAAATCACATTTTAATGTATTATAAATGTTTCATTACCGAAAAAAGTAAAAATATGGGACAACTCTGTTGACTGCCCAGACGATTTAGCTGCTGTGGTCTTATTTTTCGTTGCCTGGCAACCTATCCTTAACTATTATAGTGCCAACTCGTTATCTTATCTCACATAATGTATCTTTAATGAGTTGTTACTCTTAATCAGATTTTAGTGTATTATAAATGTTTCATTACTGAAAAAGTAAAAATATGCGACAACTCTTGTTGACTGCCCGGACAATTTAGCTGCTGTGGGCGTATGTTTCGTTGCCTGGCAACCTATCTTTATTTGGTTGAAAACATATCACGTATTGAGTTAATTGCTTGGCCCTAAGGTTGAGGATTTTAAGGGTTTTTAACACAAAATTAAGCAATTTTATTCTCCTAAAAAATAATCGAGATTGGCCCTTTAAAGGTCACCGGAAAAGGTTCATAAATTTTTTAAATAAAGCAGGTAATTATGTCAACATATCCTTTCCATAAGTATAACACGAACCCGAATGTCAATATTACCTGCAACAGGTAAATTTCAACGTTAGCAATTTCCGCCATTCTCCGTGGGTAGTCGTAACTTTCCGTAAATGTGACGTCATTTTAGTCCTTCTGCTCATATTCTAGTCTATATTTCTATGTGCAGAAGGACTAAAATGACGTCACGGATTGCTTATTGACGGAAAGTTCCGACTACCGACGGAGAACGGCGGAAATTACTAATTACATCTAGAGTTATGGCCCTTTTTTCACTTTGTTGTACCCTGTGAATGCTCTAACCACAAAAGTTATTATCCGATCTGCATGAAATTTATACAGATTATTTAAATTTGTAAAATGAAAAAGCCAGTTGAATTTCTGTAAATTATGTCAAGAGTTAAGGCCCTTGTTTAAGTTTGTAGAACCTTGTGAACCCTCAAAGGACAAAAATTATAATCTGATCTGTATGAAATTATCCTGTAAATAAATGCCACCAATTATCTACAAAAGAATAAATGTGTGACAACCCTTGTTGACTGATTGGACGATTTAGCTGCAGTGGGTGTATGTTTCGTTGCCTGGCAACCTATCTTTTATGAATACTCTACAGCAGTGATGGGATTTCAAAAAATTTCTTGTCGGACATTTTTTCCCGAAAATAAAGGGGCCTAACTCTTATCGTAATTTAAGCAGACGTTTTCAAAACACAATTAAGAATCACGTGTCAACAAAATATATTCAAATTCATATGTAAAATAAAATAGGTGCACCTCGTTATATTTCATGTTTAAAACCCGTACGGTATTCAAATTTATGTCAATAATATTCCTACAAAATTACATGACATCGTAATACTGCCGACTGCTGCCGATCTGTTTCAAACTCCCCCAAAATTACCCTATTTTTCGGGTCATACGTCGGTACATTTTCAGCAAAGTCTGACATTCGTCTGATACTCCGTTTCGATTTATATACGGAAGGTAAAAAAATGACATCCCGAAATTTATTTGGCCGTAAATCGTAGTTAACGACGCTCTAATACACCGAGCAAGGGACACCAACTGCTAAATCATTGCATTCGACTGTAGCACGCGCTATCGTCTAAAACAATTAACTACTTACGTCATTCCAATGGAAATATTCGTCAACATTTCTTAGCGTGTTTATTTATTTATTTAAAGACATAAACCCCATTCAAAATATGATCATAAATCCGACAATATGCCATCAAAATAGAATCTTTTCTCGGATATCAGGCGTATTGCATTCGGCACATATACATCTCTTAATTTCACGTGTTTCGCGAGATTTGTACTTTCATTTTCATTACTGAACTATATAAGCGCCATATGCGTGTGTCTGAAATATCTTTATTTAACTTCGGCTGCCACCGAAAATATATGACAGATAAATTATCGGATACAATGTATGTTGATTTGAGGTGTTATATGTTATCAGGATATGTGACATATATGACTAATTTCTACGTGTTGTCCGACACAAAGGAGATTAAAACGTGAGACAATGGATAAATCACGGGTTAATCAGATTAAGTTTATAATCACTCTTATTGGATTGATATATCGTCCGACAAAGGAGAAGCAATGACTTCTGTTCAGGATTGATTTGATGAATTGTCCGATAAAGAATTAAGTCAGCCAATCAAGGCAGATTAAGTAGTTAATCAAGGCAGGTGAATGGGCGGAATATAAAGATAAATACGTTGATCACTTAATTACCTAATCAATCCAGCCTATTATCAACGATAATCGGGTTGAGTAGTTAATCAAGGTAGGTGTGTAGACGAAAAGTAGTTGATCACTTAATTACCTAATCAATCCAGCCTAGTCTCAACGATAATCGGGTTGCACTGTAGTTATACACTCAGTACACTATATTAATTTTGGAATTTCAATATTATTCACCATGTCTTGATGTCCGATTGGGCATATTCCCTCTCGGACAATTTTGGGCGTTTCGAAAAAAGATTCGGACAAGTCAGGAATATACGGGTAAAATCCCATCACTGCTCTACAGACTACATTTGTCATCCAGTCGGATATGTTGTTTCCATCAGTTAAATAAGGAATCTTTGCATGTACCCCAAATTTTAGATGAATTAGTTCAGGTTTAGCTGCAGTTTTAGGGAGGTCATTTCTTGAAATAATTTGATGTTCAAAATACACTGACATTACAACAGGCAAAAAACACACATATTTAAATGATTAATTGATATATATTGAAACCCCCTAATTATTATAGCGTTTTATCTATTCCAGCGGGAGTAACTAAAACTGATGGAGATGTACCAAATGCTGTATTGAGTCAAGCATCATTTGATGAAAATCTACATCTTCACGAAGTTAAAAATATAGCAACTGACAATGATAATCTACACCTTCCTGAAGTTACCATTAGTTCCGCAGAAAAACATGTAGATCAAGACGCTATGGAAGCAACGAACAATGAAGTTACCATCAGTTCTGTTGAAAAACTCATAGAACAAGATGCAAAGAAAGCAACAAACAATGAAGTTGATTTATGCTCATCAACCACAAGAAAAGAAACAAGTTCTTCTAGAATACCAGATAATGGTCATGAAACAGATCTCAGTGGAACCTCAAAGAAAGGAGATAAAAGAAAAGGTACCCTAGAAACAGATGTGGATACTGGTACAACATCTCCTAAAAATCTTAAAACAGAAGAAGTACAAGAGAGTCCTAACAAAGCATTTTTAGGAGAAAAAAGAAACCTGTCTTTAGATGAAAATGCCAACGTAGGGATACAATATGATAATAATCAAGAAATCCCTGTAAACCAAAGTAAAGAAATAAACGTTCATACAAAAGCTTCAAACTCCAGGGAGAGCAAAAATGAAAAGCAAACTGAAACAATTCAAGAGCCATTAAAACATCGTGATGTAAAAGGTAATAAGGCACAATCTGAAATGGAAAATGAAGAAATATCTATAAAAAGAACTGAAACAGATGGAAAGGCAAGTAATGAACATGGAAGCCAGCATTATGGAAAATCTGGAAATGAGAAAATTGATTCTAAGGATACAAGTTTGAACAATTTACCTGATGGTGATGAAGTACAGGATATAAATGAACAAGGTAAAAGTAATGAAAGAAAGAGGAATGCTAAAAAAAAGCAAGATTATGGTAAAAAGCTCAAAATAGGTAATTATAAACTTTTTATTCTGAGAGAATATGTATTTATTTGTTTGCAGATTCCTATGATTTTTTATGTTATATGCCACGATCTGTCATTTGCATTTTCACTTAGGTATCAAATTGATTATTTAACATTTAATTCAGAAAACGAAATCAAAATACCAATGCTAGATAATCTTCCAACTTGGGTTCAGTCGGATTTAAGCTAGGCTCATCAAGTGTCTCCGCTACTCATAAAAGATGGTGGTGTTGTGTTATATCAAGCAGGATAGATTAATGAAATTTCAATTTATTGTAACTTTGTAAAAATTGAACAGACTTGAACCAATTTTGGACTAGTATTCCTATTAGAGATTAGATTTTCACAATATTGTAGTTTGCAAGGGGTTCATATATTGGTAAATGGTAATGATGCAACAAGCCTTTAATGTATGTATGTTATGTTTGTCTCATACGGTAATCGTTGGTGGGTTTGTGGCTTAGGTGGATGATGCTTATTCAGATTTGTTCAATTTATCCCCTTTTTTTTGCAGTTTTTTACACCCACATTGAAATGTGGCTGTTTATTGTCAGCGCCCCCGTCTGACAGTCCGGTGTCAACCATTACTTGTGGACGCTTTATAGGCGAAAACTATATTATCCGATTGACTTTAAATACACATTGTCTAAGAAACCTATTGATTTTTAGCTATCCCTGATAATTACTGCCAGAGTTATAGTCCTTGATCACTTCTATAAATCTTGTGGACACTCTAAGAGGCTAAAGTTATTATCCGATTGACTACAAATTCATACACAGTGGTTAAGGTTGAGACAATGAAGCTTATTGATTTTCAACAATTTCCAATAATTACTGCTAGAGCTATGGCCCTTGACCTCTTTGAAAAATCTTGTGGACTCTCTATAGATGCTAGAGTTCGTATCAAAATTATACAAATTGGGTAGGGTCATGACACGAAAAAGACCTTGACCTCTTTGAAAAATCTTGTTAACAATCTTAAAATCGAGTAATCATCTGATTGACTTTAAATTTATATACAGTGTTTAAGGTCATCAGACAATGAAGCCTAATGATTTTCAACAGTTTTTGATAGTTACTGCCAGAGTTATGGACCTTGATATTTTATTCCCAATCCTCTCTGACTTCTGTTTACAGTCGGTCATAAATTCCTTTGTAAAATGATCTTTTTGAAATCATACTACACAAGTGTTCAATTTACTTAAACTTTCAGATGATAGTACGTCGAAGGACAATGATCAAAAACGTATAGAAAATAAAAAACAAGCACATGCTAAAAGGGTAAGATGATAATTTATAATTACCTATTTCACTCGATTTATTATAGGTAATAATCTTTATTCTAACGATAAGCCTATAATCAACTCTCTAGGACATTGGATGGCCCGAGATGTAAATGGTTTGAAACACGATTGCCATTTAATAAGTTAAGTTAGAAATAGATAATCTTGACTTAGTGAGTACACTACATTCTACATTTATCATCTTATCTTTTCAAAATTTATGCATGTTCACATCAGTGGGACAAAGAAGCTTATTCAATTTCTGAGTTATTTGCTTTGATCTCTTTGTACAGTGCACTCTGTCACATCCGACCTCTGATCACTCCGGCACTCTGTTACTTCCGACACCATTTTCATGTCCCGATTTATTTCCTTATTACTTCCGCCAAAAAATCTCTGGGTAATTCGACCTCTGTACGTTCCGGATTACGACATCAATCAGCCGTCCCGTCATACGATTTCCATTAAATCGACACCATATAATCCGGCCTTCAATCGGTGGGTGTGAAGCAAACACTTACCGATCAATTATCTGCGAGATTAAAACTGGATGGGTGTGAAGCCACAAAAGATTACCAAGCAATCACCAATCAATTATCTGTGAGATTAAAACTCGCTACCATTGGTCTTTGTTGATTACTTTGATAATTTTAATCTTTTGTACGACAGTTGTGACAAATACTCAAGAATATCCACAAATTTTCCCCTGAATTCACAGTCGTAAAAATATTCCTAGCACCTGTTGGAAACATTCGTTGCGCATGCTGATTGAACCTGAATAACCTATAAGTTTGGTCAACCTACGAATCTCTTCGAACCGTGTGACGACGGCCTGGGGATACTCGATTCACAGTCCGGAACGTCCCGAATTGACAGAATTGCAATCGAGTGACGCGGAATTCAGTCCTGTCACAATTCTGTCAGTCCCGTCGACGGAGGTGGTGTAAGTAGAATTGTGATGTAATTAAACACGACGAACGGGTTTCGGCTGCATGGTTGGATGAGATATTTATATATCCAGTCGACGCATGCTTTGTAGCCCGAAGTACCCATTTTCACTCGATTGTCACTATTTTTGACATGAGAGAAATTAATTCCGGAACGTTCAATCGAGTACGCCCATTATGAATGAACACGTGATAGCAAAGGCAAGAGTGCGATCAACTGAAGATGTGGAAGAAGATAAATTAACGACAGACTTGACCTATTCAAAATGCCTACGCATGTTAAATGAAATAAAAATTAATGTAATAAAATTTTGAATGTACAGAAAGGTTTATCATTTTTAAAGGGAATAACATTCTGGTGATTCGAAGTTCTATGTTCGAAGCTACATTATAATAATACTTTTGGTTTTCGAAGTTACACTATTTTCTAGTTTTGAGAAAACTGGGTATTCCGACACTCTGCGTAATCCGACATATTGTAACAATCCCGTACGATGTCGGATGTGACAGAGTGCACTGTACATAATATACCTTACGAATACTGGTATCAATTTTATAGGCCATGAAAATAATGTTTCAACAAGAAGACGTAATAAATATAGAGATTGGCTTGACGATTTTATTTATCAGTTAATGATTTACATATACCAACCGTGGATCTTGAAATAGAGAGATGGGATTTAAGGTCCACTCGACACAAACTAGGCCGCTTCGAGACTAACACATGGTTTAATTTTATTTCAATAATTGAAAAATCTTGTGGATGCTCTCACTGAGAACTACAAAGAGGTGAATCTGTTCATGGCCCTTATAGAAAATTATGTCTGGGGCGTTATCTGTACGTCTATTGAAAGAAAATTAATTTCCTGACTTTTACTCCGTATTACCGCGTTAAAATTGTAAATAAGTTGCGTTAATTAACAAGGGTGAAAAACTGTCTGAGAGGTGAATTAATTAACGCTAGGGATGTAGAGGTGTGTTTATTAACCGACCAGTAAAAAATAAATGTCAATGGTGTGTATTGTTTAATTGGCGTGTTTTCTTGCTAGTTGCAACAACTGCACCAAAAGGAGTATAGTCAAGGACAAACAGGCTTTATCTGACACGTACGTGTTAAATCAAAATTTGGGAAGTAAAACTGTTTTACCGTGCGATTTATCATTCGACCGTGTGTTTTACGCAGGCCTTTGTATAATTAAAGACAGGTCTTTAGAAAGGGGTGTGTACTCGCTATGATCTACGTTTCTCTTATGTGTCTTTTGTATTGCGTACAATATATATATAAAGTTGCATTTAATGAAATAAAAATATGGACCTTAATCTATCCTACGGAAAGGCGAATGTAATGTCATTTTCAAATACCCAGCAGTCAGCGGCCAGTTGGAATATCCACGGGAATATAGAGAGTAAATCCAGCAAAAACTATTTTTCTACGCTCATTGACTGTTTCACATTTATTAAAATTATAAAAACGTGCCAAGATGCACGGTCGAATGATAAGTCGCACGGTAAAACAGTTTTACTTCCCAAATCTTGATTTAACACGTACGTGTCAGATAAAGCCTGTTGGTCCTTGATTATACTCCTTTTGGTGCAGTTATCGCGACTAGCGAGAAAACACGCCAATTAAACAATACACACCATTGACATTCATTTTTTACCGGTCAGTTAATTAACACACATCTACAGAAAATGCACCATCACACAGTTTTTCACCCCTAGCGTTAATTAACTCACCTCTCAGTCTCAGACAGTTTTTCACGCTTGTTAATTAACAGTTTTTCACGCTTGTTAATTAACGCACCTTATTTACAATTTTAACGCGGTAATATCGAGTAATAGTCGGGAAATTAATTTTCTTTTGATAAGCGTACAAATTACGAGCCAAACAGAGATTTCTATAATAGCTGTGCACAGATTCACCTCTTAGTAGTTCTCACTGTCTAGAGGGGAGAGAGAAAGAAATAGAGTTTAATGTCCACTCGACACAAACTAGGTCATTTCCAGACTAACACATGTTTCAATTTTATTTCAATAATTCGCTTGCTAACCATTCTGCCATCCCCCCCTCACCCTCATTAAGTGGTAAATCAAGTTTTGATAATTTTAAAATATAACTCTTTTTGTTTTAAGGGACAAGCTTCTAGCAGAACTGAGTAAGTAATTATATTACAGCTTCCTGATTAATGAGCTATGATATTTTGTCTTTTATTGCTATTTTGGTTGTTAGATGTTCCAGCTGTAGTTAACAATTTTGTTGGGTATTAAAGATACATTAGTTAAGAGTTTTATAAAGAGTTGGCCATTCTTGCTATGATAATTCAAAAATAGATAATAAAAAAAAAGAAAATGTTGAAAATTTCAGTCAAATTACTTTGTTCTGAACGGAATTGTCACTATCGGAAGTTTGGACTAGAAATAGGCATCAATTGTGTCTGCACCGTCTATGAGAATTGGCGATCGTTTGATTGACAGACAATAACTCCATCCACATATTCTCGATTATTAAGTAATAGCTCAATGGCTATGGTAGCCTCGCTTGGCAGGCCTTTCATCGCCCTTTATTGATTTAATTTTAAATGGACGACTGTTTAAATCCAAACTGTATCCAAGACATCTGTGGGTCTACGTAGATGATTTTGAGCTTGTTGTGTAAATAAAGGTCAAATCAGGGCTTGCGCTGTCGTTCGCCAATGTCGCATTAATTTGTGATAAAAATATCAAAGTGGCCATTAAAATTTCATTTTGGCGATAGTTTTGGCGATAACATTTTGCGGCACTGGCTATTCTTTTTGGGGACTGGCGGAAAAAAGTCTTAAAATTCTAATCGTATCCTTGATTAACCATTACATTGAGTGTCAATCACGTGGCGGGTATACTATAAATTAATCAACTCGCTGATAATCTGGATCGTGTCAATGAGTAATACTTACCAATTGTCTCGGATTAATGATTAGTTGATTGATAATTCCCTATTGTAAAACCTATCTCAAGTCATTATTTACTCCTAATGTTTATCCAAGTGTTGATTATTTGATGTTTCGTTTCGTCTTAAAAAAAAAAATTTGTATTATCACCATTGGTTGGAAACAAAAGTTTGAGTCGATGAGCGAAGATGCTCGAGTGAGAAAACAGTCCACCAATTGCTTCATATTATTGCTGCCAAAATGCTCTAAATTGAGCGACGAGTATAATGGAAGCATCTGTTACAAATGAAATTGAAATTTATGTCATTCTATCGGGGATTCAGATTCTGATTCCTTTACGGTACATGAAAATAACAGTAGAACTATTTTACACGCAAAACATGAATTTATAGAAAATTAGCTGTCCTTGGATGAGATTTGACGTGTAAATACTGAAAATATATTGTGCAATATAGTGTGCAAATAGACTAAAGTCACCCCCTGAAAAACTAATCTTAGTAAATTGACTCAAAACTGGGCTTATGTATTATGTAAAGACGAATGTGTTAAGTTGTTAGGGTTTCACACTGCGTAGCTTGTGTGAAACACTATTGTTTTTGTTAAGATTATTCTTATTATTATTATTTTTTTTTTTTTCCACTTGAGCATATCTCAGAAACTACTTGTCGAATCAATTCGATGTCTTCAGTTTTACTGGGAAAGTGGGTGTGACTTAGAGATTAAAGCTATTTCAAACTTTCTGCGACTATGCGAAATGTCCAAAACGCCAAAGTTGTCGTTTTTTGAAATATTGCAGTAATATTAACAATAATCGTCGGATTTTAACATTGGATACATTTTGACATAGCCTGAGACAGGGCACATAGCTACGGTAGTTTAGATTTTTGATTTTCGACGAATCTTCGGAGATATTAGGCGCCAAATTTTGAAAATTTATATTTTGACAAAAAACTTTTTTATTAATGAATAATTTTTTATGGCATTTTACCCAGGGTTAAGAGGTCGTCTGATTTGATAAAAAAATGTGAACATTTTTTGTCTTGATAATTTTTCTTGGCCGCTATTGGCTAATTCAGTTTATCGGTTCTAGGTTAATTATTTATTGCCCGATTTTTATAAAACAAAGTTCATATGCTCCATGGTGCAAATTCTCAATTTTTTTATTACCGGTAAAGTTTTCTATCAGCACCAGATGTGACTCAATTTTGCTAAAAACCCCAATTTTGTCGTGTCGGAACGTCTTTTCACTAGCAAATGTTAATTTTTGCAAATCTGATAGATCAAGATAAATGCCCCTACAAAAGGCGCATAAAATCTCGGACTCACTTTTTTTAATTTTGGTTTTGTATTTGCGCCATTTCGATTTAAAGGTGAAAAAAGGTGTCAAAATGAGCTATTTACAACCCATTCAGGCTTTTCATATTTCAAAATATTTATTCACAACTTTCATAAACTTGTAGCATTAATCCATACGAAGAGAATCTATGTCAAAATTAGTTTGTTATATAAGTATTTGCCGAGAAATGGTCAATTTTGCATGAGTCACTTTTTACGCTATTTTGCCTGTAAAAGAGCCAATTATTATTGGATTTTCATAAAAATGACACCATTTGATGCGTAATGTCAATTTTGACTAGTTCAAACCAATTTAACATTTTCAATGTCACCAGAAATGGCGCCATTTGGACAAAAAATGTATTTATAGCCTTCAAAACAGATATTTTATTCAAATGAGTCTTTTTTGTAATGTTTTCAAAATTATGATATTTGATTCCAATCAACTAATAGTATGATAACATACGATCACATAGATATCACAAAATGTTTTCTAACTTGTTCAGTTGCAGAGAAAAAGGCGATTTTCAGCAAGTCACTTTTCAAGGTTTTTGGTCTATAAAAGTGTCAATTATTATTCGATTTTCATAAAAATTTCACTGTGTGATACCTAATGCCATTTACGATTTCATACAAGTAATTTAGTATTTTCATTATCACTGGAAGTACCGTCACTTTGGCAAAAACTGTATTTTTAGCCTCTAAAACAAGTAATTGTTTGAAGTAAGCAATATTTATTATTGATGTAAAATTATGATATTTGATTCCTATGGACAAATAGTATTAATCAATACGATCATATTGATATCACAAAATTGTTTCTAACATCTTTCCTTGCCGAGAAATAACCAATTTTGTCAGGATCACTTTTTAAGATTTTTCGCATTTTAATTTCAGTGTATGGGTTCTGGGTTAATCATTTATTGCCTGATTTGTGTAAAATAAAAGCCACCTGGTGCAAATTCTCAACTTACTTCTACATATAAAAGTTTCTGTCGGCACTGGAAGTGATGTAATTTTGCCCAAAACTTCAATTTTGACGTGTCGAAAGGTCTTTTAAAAAGCAAATATTTATGTTTACAAATCTAAGGGATCAAGATGAATGCTCATACTAAAGACGCAAAATATGTCTTGCTTTGTGTTGGTTATTTTTATTTCGGTTTGGCATTTGCATCATTTTGATTTATAGCTGAAAAAAGGTGTAAAAATGAGCTATTTAAAATGCATTCAGATTTTTCATATTTTAAAATATTTCTTGACAACTTTCCCGAACCTGTAGCATTAATCCATACGATGACAATTTATGTCAAAATTAGTTTGTAATATTAGCAGTTGCCGAGAAATAGGCAATTTTGCATGAGTCACTTTTCACGTATTTTTGCCTGTAAAAGAGTTAATTGTAATCCGATTTTCTTTTTTTTTTCACCATATGATGCCTTATGCCATTTTTGACTGGGCGGATCCAATTTTACATTTTCAGTGTCACCAGAAATGGCATCATATGGGCAAAAACTGTATTTATAGCCTTCAAAACAGATATTTTATTCAAATGAGTCTGATTTGTAATGTTTTTAAATTAATGACATTTGATTGCAGTCAACAAATAGAATGAACCAATACGATCATACAGATACCACAAAATGGTTCCTAACTTTTACAGTTGCAGAGAAATAGACGATTTTCTACAAGTCACTTTTCAAGGTTTTTGGTCTATAAAAGTGTCAATTATTATTTGATTTTCATTAAATTTTCACCATGTGATGGCTGTTGTCATTTATTATTTCATGGAACTAATTTAACATTTTCATTATCACCAGAAAGTAATGTCGTTTTGACAAAAACTGTATTTTTAGCCTTTAAAACAAATATTTTTTGAAGTGAGTTATGTTTATTATTCGTTTAACATTATGATATTTGATTCCAATGGAGATATAGATTGGATCAATACGATCATATAGATGTCGAGAAATAACCAATTTTCTCAGGATCAATTTTAAAACTTTCTTTTCACATTTTAAGTTCCCATTAGATAGTCAGCTAACTTAGTGGTAAGTTAGTAATAAATTTTGTCAGGATCACATATTTGACATATCTAACGCATGGTAACAAATGTATAAATGGAATTGATATTGCTGGATTTGGTTGATTCTGCGTCCATTTCATAACACATGTGCAATGCTTACGTGGAAATCTGTTTAACGGTTTCATTGGTACCGAATGTGACATAAGTTCAAGGGTAATGAGGCACCGGAAGTGTCATAAGTTCAAGGGTAACGTGGTAACATGGCACCAGTGAATCCCGTCATTACTGCATCGCAGTTTTAGTTGTATATTGTAATTATATCGGTAATTTTTTTTATAATAGGCCTGCCTGAGAATTAAAAATGTTACATGTTGTCTTTTTTTATCACACATTTTTGGCAGATAAAATATTCCAGTTGGCGAAAAAATATATGAACATTTTTATACGCCCACATGGAAATGTGGTCAGATATTGCCGTCGCCCCCGTCCGTCCGTCCGTCCGTCATCCACAATTTCTTGTGAACACTCTACAAACTACGTTTATCATCTGATTGTTTTGAAATTGATATATTTTGTTTGCATTAGTGAGATGAAGAAGCCTATTTAATTTCAGCAATTTCCGTTAATTTCTTCTGATCGGTATGAAATTTATATGCATCATTTAGATTAGTAAAACAAAGAAGCTTATTGAATTTCAGTAATTTCCGTTAATTAAATCTAGAGTTATGGCCCTTGTTTCACTTTGTTGAATCTTGTGAACACTCTAATGACAACAGTTATCATCCGATCTGTTTGAAATTGATATGCATCATTTAAATTAGTGCAACAAAAATGCCTATTCAATTTCAGCAATTTCCGTTAATTACACCGT